TTATTTTTAAATAAATATTATATGAAAAAATTTACATAAATATTATAATCAATTTATTGTGAAAGAGCCTATTTACCCAAAAGATAATTCAAATACGCATTTATCATGGAAGATATCAAATCTTTTATTTTTGTTAATAAGAATCTAATTTTTTTTTTCTATTTAAGTTTATAGTTAGTAATATATACTGTGGAAAGATACCTCAAATATTTTATTTATGTATAAAATTTGTTTTATATGGATTTTTTTTTTTTTTCACACCAGAAAATGACGTGTGTCATATTGCTGGTGTGTTTTTTAGTATATAGTTGATTAATAGTTAATATAGTTATGATTGATTGATTGATGTTAAAAACGACCATATATGTAAGTTACTGAATTCATGCCCTTTTTTAATCATATGATTCCTCTTGCCACTACATTTAAATTAGAAAATAGATTTAGGAGGGTGAGTTGAATTGAGTAAAATATTGTGTAAGGTTGTAAGTGGTATTTGTTGGGAAATAATTTATGACATAGTGAAATGTAAGGGATGTGGGAAGAGAGAGACGAAGGAGAGAGAAAAAAAAAAAAAAAAACTAAGAGGGTGCCAAAAAAAAAATGGAGTGAGGACCATGTAAGAAGACTAGGAGAGGTATAATAAAATAAAGAGAAACTGTCCAAATAGGAAGTGATGCAAAAAATAAAAAGGTCAATTTAATAATTCGAGTGATGTAATAGAGTATATAAATCGATCATTGGGTTTCAATTTTTTACTTAACCTTTTGGTTAAGATATGATGATCCTCTAATTTACCATGACATTAGAATTAACGTGGCACAAAGGTTATGATCGAGTTCAAATCTCATCCAACCCATTTTCAAAGGTTTTGGTTGGGATGGTTAGTTTTCTAACATGATATCAGATACATTTAAGCTTTTGGTTGAGATGATTTTCCAACATGATATCAGAGATTTAGAATAAACGTGACAAGAAGGCCATGGGTCTCTTTGTCAAAAAAAAATAAATAAATAAATAATAATAATAAATAAATAAAATTAAAAATTAAAAAAAAAAAAGGGTATGGGTTCAAACCTTATCCACCCTTCCTTTTAAGTGTAATATTTCAAGTCTGTTGGGTAGACGCTTATGCTTTCAACCATCATCTTAAGTTGGAATAGGATATATAATGAGCTTAAAATCTAGTCATCACTCATACCTATATTAATCGTTTATTTTGAATTTGACATTTGAAAAAGTAGAAATTACTTTAATTTTCTTGGAATTATAATTTGCTTATAGTTTCAAAAAATGGTGAAAACTGCAATAAAAAAAAATAAAAAAAAATAATCAAATGAACAAAAAATACAGAGTAACAAACTAGGTTTTTATAAAAACGATAAATAATCACCCACCTTGACCTAATCGGCTAACCCTGTCCCTTTTCTAATCATGCACATTTAACCGCACCAAAGTGAATTGGTCTCAAGATATTTAGACTTTTTAAGGATATCATATATCTCTTGATACCTTGGTTATTAACTTATTAGTTATTTATGGTATCATATATTATTATCCTGTGAATATCTTTGATATTATAGTTAATTAGTATATCTTAGTGATAAGTTTGCTTTTAATACTCTTTCATAATACTATAAATTTTAAGTTTTCAACATATTATATATATTCTCAATACAATTTATATCTGAAAAGTTAGTAGTCCGCTCACCACCCATATTGTCTCTTCTCGTCGTTTTAAATCGAAATTAAATTTTCTAAGGTCCCATTCACTTCACCTTAATTTTGCTGAACTGAAATTATTTTTACTGATTAAAAAACTGAATTTTACTAAATTGAACTTATTTTTACTGATTTAAATATTACATATATATATATATATATATATATATATATATATATATATATATATATATATATATATTGTATACTAGATGGAAGCTCGTGCGATGCACGGTTTTTTCATCTAAGATTTTTAATTATTTGATTTATTGTATTTAATAATTTCAGACAAAATTACAAAAGTTTAATATTTTTATTTTTTACTATAATCTATAATGAATTTATTAAATATAAATAAATTGTAAATATGATATTTTTCCATAATATAAAATCTTTAATGTGAAATGATAAATTTTTAATCATTTAAATCCTAAATCATTATTCATTGTTTTACCATATCTTTTATTTCAATAGAATTACCAACCTCGTCCACAACCAACCAACTACATCAATGGATAAATTGAATCGTGAAATGTTAGCCAAACTGAAATTGATATAAATTAAATCTTTACATTTATATAAAATAAATCAATATATTTACCAATAAATGAAAAATTGTTGCGATATAAAATCAAATCTATGCATTGGAAGTTTTTCATCATCTCCAAAAATAACCAAAGCCATCCATATATTAAGTATACAACATCTAATCGTATGCCATTACATAAACAAATAATCGTTAAGTATCCAAAATAAATACAATGTAACTAATAATTACAAATATAAATTTAAACATAAGATTTTAAAAATTACCCGGACATTGATGACCTAAAACTAACACAAAATTCGCTTGGTGGGGTTTTGTATTGATACAAAATTTTATTTGTGTCGTATGATGTGTTAGATCTACATGTAAAAAAACATTTAGTAAATAAAACATAAACATATAATCGTTGAGTATCCCAAATTAATACAATGTAAGTAATAATTAGAAATACTAATTTAAACATAGGATTTTAAAAATTAAGCTAAAAATTACCAAGCCATTGATGACCAAAAATTAACACAAATTACTAACACAAAATTCGCTGATGGGGTTTTTTTATTGATACGAAATTTTGTTTGTGTCGTATGATGTGTCAATTTATAATGGTAGGTATCACAAATTTTAATTTAATTATAATTAACGAAAAATTTGTATTTCTTAGCATAAATACTATCAAAATTTATCTTGTAATGATAGGTATCAAACTTTATTATAAGTGTTTATCATTTAAATATTTCTTAGTATATTTTTTTTGGATTTCTTATACTCGTAGTATTGAATTAATAAATTTATCTTTTCTTATATTTTTACTTATTTTTTTTTCATTAAAATAATTTAATTCGTGGATTATAATCTACGTGGCATTAAAATTTTAGATATATCAAATCTAATTCGTTACTTTTATCTAGGTGGCGACATAATTTTTTAATTCAAAAATAAAATACAAATCTTTCTTCTTATTGATCAAAATAAGTATATTTCTTACGTGGCGCTCCAAATGCTCTCCAAAAATGCCTACTTTATTTATATATATTAGATTAGGTAAAATATTCTATTTTTGTAATTTATATAATTGGCATATATCACGATAATATATTATGCCAACCATATAAATTTACATAATACCGTATATACAAATGGTTGGCCTATAACGATAATGTATATGATTGTCAAATTAAATATATCAACTCTGACATGCATGCATATATATATGAGACTATTAAAATATATAGACCTTGTTACAAATAGTTAATCGTTAAAATAGTTTTGAAAGCAGCGGGTTGGAGTTAACGATCTCAAACCCAAAGACTTTAGCACAATTTATGACATGCATGAAAAAAATCTGGTTAATTAAATTTTTTGGTTTGAATTCTTAGTCAATTTTTTACTACGTATACGTTGGTTAACTGCATGGAACTTACAAATAATTATAGAAAATATTGGTAATTTGATTGATCATATCAAGCATGTGATATTTAAGCAAAAAAAATAAAAATATAATGACATTTATGAATATCATATTCAAATATCTTATTAAATATATTGTAAGTGATTAGGTATCCAATTACGATAAATTTTGTTACCCTTTTATAAAATATAGTACTTGTATTTACCGAATATAATCGACTACAATATTATCAATAAGACATAATATTTTATACTTAAAAAAAAAGATATTATATTTTATAACTATACAATATGTGATAAAAGTGTAGACAAAAGTGATGCATAAAAAAATATATGCGAAGTATAAAAAAAAAAAATCTTGTACGACAATATTTTGCAATATATGGAAAAAATAATTTACATTAAAAAATCGTAGTAAAAAAAGCATCATGTACATGAACTTAAATTAATTTTGCTGAAATTATTTTTGCTGAACTGAAATTATATTTATTGAACTGAAATTATTTTTGCTGAAGTGAAATTATTTTTATTGAATTGAAATTATTTTTACTTAATATTATTTTTTTAAGATAATATTATAACGAAGGTTGATTATTATTTATTGTAACTCTCCCTCTACAAACAATTATTGCTCCTTTCACGTCAATTTGTTAATTGAACTATGGAAAATTATTCATGATATCGGCATGTGGGGTTATATCCGGAACAATCCATCCCACACACATGATCCATGTACCTTAGTGTCACTAAAACATGTGAGCAAAACATACAAAATAATGTGTTCAAAGAAGAGTATTTTTACTATTTTAGCATGTCATGACAACATACAACATAATGTGTTCAAAGAGGAGTATGTATTTTGCATGTCATGACTTTCTCATAGACAGATCTAAAACATCTATTTAACTATTTTTTTTTTTTTTAAAACCGAACATGGTTCAAGCTTACATATGATCCTCCCTATTTAGTTATTCGTACCACACACAAACACAAATTTAAATACTATCAAGATTATAATTAATTGAGTTTTTATAAAAAAAAAAAGATAATAATTAATTAAACTTACCAAAAAAAGTATACACTAGTAAATAAAAAATAAATAATTTAAATTATTATATAAATATATACTAATTACTTCGTATTATAATTTATAATAAACTCTATTATAAAATATTAAATTTTGTAATAAATGTTTTCTAAAAGATTTAGTAAAAATGTAAAATATATAGACGACAAACAATATACATTAACAAACGTAATAGTTACAAAGTAATATGTACACTTTTTTGAATCGAATATGTTTTTTTTTTTTAAAAGGGTAATGTTATAGTCCTTTGGGTTATGAATAAGTATTTAAGATTTTTCCTAATTTGGTATTAATTTAAAAATATATGACAAAATCACGCTCAAATAAGTGTAAATAATGATGTATTTTTATTTGTTTTTTTTTCCATTTTAAGCTTTTTATACATAGCATTTTTCATCTTAAAATATTAAATTCCTCGTCAAAAAAAAATAAAAATAAAATAAAATAAAATCATATTGCAAGTTTTAAGAAACGGCTTATTAAAAGAAAAAGATTATAGAGTTCAACAAAAGTTAATTGAAAATGAATTCTAACCGTTGATATTATGGAAATTTGACTGTTGAAAATGTATACGTGCCACTAATCTTGCCTCCTTTGTTTTCAATTTTTGTTTGCTCCTTTTCACTTTTATTACACTGCACCTCACTCTCTATCTCTCCTCCATTGAAGCGTATTCTTCCCACTTCTCCATTGAAGCATATTCCAAGCTTTCTCTCCTCCATTGAAATTCAACTTCTGAGGTAATTTTTTTTTTTTATCTTTTTTTATTTAATTTGTTGAATTTCAATTAATTTCATAATCTAGGGTTTATGTTAATCTAATTGTCAGTATAGTCAAATTAGGGTTCTACTAAGATGGATTATTGAACTATTACTTATAATTAACCGAAGTTATGAAAAATTAAAACTTGCAATTTTGTTGATATTTTTAAGCAAGAACAATTATGTGTGATTTTTGGTGCTTAATTTGATATATGAGTCAAATTATATTACTGATGTGTTTGGATTTTGTGTATCACCCTTCTATGCTCCCCTCTTGCCCGTGCTTAAGGACAGTTGCTGGTTAAATAATTGTTTCCTGTTTTGTATAAAAATATTCTTTCTTGTTTTGGCAAGATTTGAATTTTCTATATTACCCGATTTCGATTACGGGTTTATGGGCGTATTCGGCAAAATTAGCTATTGTTGTATCAGGTAGCTATTCTAATAGCGATTTATGGGTTAATGTTAGTTGTTAGAGATTACCTATTAAGGTAGTTGGTTTTAAAATGAGTGATCAATATAACTAGTTTTGGGTATAGAATATATGGGGTGGTAGTGTATTGTGAATTTTAACATGTTTCAATATGTTATAGTACCTAGCTATATTAACTCGAATTCCTGTTGAGAAAAGCTCTTTAAGTCGGATTACTTTGATGTCTGTTATTGTAGTTAGTTAAAGTTTTGGGGGTGATACCCATTTTCTGGGATCACAGACTGTGTATAGCATTTGCCCCTTTGCGACTCTCTCTACACCAAAACAAAAAAATAAACTTGAATTGCTACCCTAGTTTGGTACTTATACAATCGTGCAACATACTAACATAGTAGACTTTTGATTGAATGAAAATGCTAACTGTTATCCCCTTGGTTTTCCCGTGTTGATCCAGCGGAATCAAAACCAAGGATAATTTTAAAAATGAACCTTTTTGGATACTTTTCTGGAGGAAAAGGTAACCTGGGTGGGTTGGGTCCCATGTTTAGGGTATTAAAGGGCTGATGAGTGATGAGGAATAATAGTGATCAAATAAGGAATAAAACAAGAGGTTGGTATAACTCTAAAAAATGCCTTGCCAAAAAAAAAAAACTCTAAAAACCAGATGTGGAAGAAGGTGAGTGCTTAGGAAAATGGAGGGAGTATTTGAGAAGTTTTTGCCAAACGCGGACTGTGTTTGGGAGTCTTAAGGTTCTGTTATCTTTATTTTTAACATGTATCATAGGATGAATAGGTTTGACCTTTACCATGAAGAGATTGTTGCTTCTTATGAGCATCTAGATTTTCATATATTACTCCTCGTGTTAAAGTACTGTCAATGGTTATGTTAGGATGCAGCAATATTTCAAAAAAGTTCCTGAAGTGGAGAAACAGCATTACTGATATTCAGATAATTTAATAAGGGCATAACACATGCTTGTCATAAGCTGCCTATAGCTTGACATGATTTCAGATGTCTTGCAGGTGAAATTTCATTGTTTTTGGCTGTTATATATGGAGATAAATCAAGTTAATCAACCACAGCAGATGAGCGGCTCTGTCCCTCTGTCAGATGCTTCTGTGAAGAGAAAGCGAGGTCGTCCTCGAAAAGAAAGAAGTGAAAACCCTGGAAAAACCCATCTACCACGTAAAAGGGATCAAAACCAAAATCATGGTGAAGGTGCCCCTGTGCCCCCAGGATTTGAAGAAGTTGATGGGAATCAAAAACCGCCGTCAGCTAATACAGTTAAGAGCAATAAAGAGGATTCAGTGATTGGCCAAATAGTTACAGGTGTGATTGAGGCAGTATTTGATGCTGGATATTTGTTGTCAGTTCGTGTTGGTGATTCTGACACAAGTTTGAGAGGTATTGTATTCAAGCCAGGACATTATGTTCCTGTTTCAGCCGAAAATGATGTGGCCCCTAGTTTGCAAATGATCAGAAGGAATGAGGTGCCTTTTCCATCAAGGAACCAAGGTCACAAGCGTCGGGGGAGAGAGAGAAGTAACCACCATGCTGCATATCCATCAAATGGTTCACCTACTTTTAATCAATTGGCTAGGGTTCGAGCTACACAAATGTCTATTGTGGCAGCGCAACCTACCCACCCAGTGGGAGAAAGAGGCACTGTGGTACCAGTGATTCTGCAACCAGTGAGCTTGTCAAATGGTGCAACTCCTGTTGTTGAAGCACCTCCCATTGCTTCTCAACCTGCTCATTTGGCAGCCTTGAAAAGCAGGTTGCCTCCTTTGACCCAGGAGGCAGCAACCAAAGGATCTCAGACAGATAGTGGTTCTGCTTCGCAACCAATTGATGACCATGTCGATGCTGCTAAGAGAGTACAAGGGTCACCTGAGTCTGCAGAAACTCAGAACAATAGTGGACAGTCAAACAAAGTGTTGCCAGATACTCCGGGGCTTACCCCAGAACAAGTCCAGGACTTGAGTAAGCCCCTGTTGGTTAAGCCCCTACAAGCTATTTGCTCAGAGCCCCCAGATCAATCTGCATCTATACCCCCCACTTTTCCTGAGAGAAGAGCAGGCAAGATGACAGAACTGCTAATGGTGAGTGAAAGTCAAAACTTTAATTCTCGTCGTGTAAGAGTTTTTTTTTACGTCAATTTTCAATTTTTATGCAACCTTTATACAAGTATTTATATTTAACATTTAATTTTTATACTACCTTTAAAAAGGATTTTTTTGAGTTTTACTGGGCTTACTAGTTGGATGATTGTTTTAGGTTTGACCGTTTGAAATACTTCTTACTATGTTACTGAAAGTATCAAATTTATTTTATACAAATCACTAACTGAACAGAACTACTCTGCTGCTTTGCAAAGGCAGTACAGCAAGAAAACTTAATGGAGAGGCAGATTTCTGATGGTCAACATCAAGACTTCAAGAGCCTGGGAAACTGAACTGAGCAAACGAAAGAACTTGGAAAATCATTCTTCAGAATGGATGAAAATTTTGCTCAAAGACCATATCTTCCCAAAGTTTCCATGTTTGGCTATCTTGTACAGGAAGACCAATTGAATCTCTAACTACTTTCTGGTTGGTTAAGACAGTATGTCATAAAGCAGCTATGAAAGAAATTTCATCTAAGACTGCGCATTTTTCCAAGCTGCTCAAGCGCAGTATCCTGTTCAAGGCAAAGGCAAGGTGGTTGTGCTTAGCTTCCATGGGGTTCGAGTTTTTTCAATCATTGTATGTTTTTTGAAAGAACTGTATGAATATGTTTATGAAAAGCTCCATCATAATACAGTTGTGGTTAGTTTCAAGTTATACATGAATTGTTTAGTGTGGTATGTTGGACTCGTCGATAATGGATAGGATCTTTTTAGACTTCAAGTAAGATCCAATTCCAGACGAGGAGGCCCCAACACTTCGAAAATAATTAGTGCATATCTTTAAATTTTGGTTCTTGTGAAGCTCAATGGGCTTTTGTATTCATTTTAAAGTCTTAATCTTCATTTCTAGACTAGCTGATCCGGATATTGAGAACTTCGAGAGTTTGTTAAATCTTTACAAGGAAAACCTAAACTTGAACATTAACTCATTAGAAGCTACAAATTGGCGGTTCTTGGACGGTTCAAGCAAAGGAACTTGGTGTCTAGTACAAGCTCAAGTTCCATATCACTCTATACTTACTCTACTTAGTGGTTTATAATTAGTTTTTGCTTGCAAGTTTTTACCTTTCACTTGAAAGGGTTTTTCTTGGTTTAACCACTTAGGATTAATTTTAATTATTTTAGGAATTATGCACTAAGTAGAATTAGTTTCCTAATCTAAGTAAAATTAGTTTTCCTATTCTATTTGGGTTACTTGAGGCTAAAGGCTAGGGACTTGTCCTACTCCTATCAAACTTAGAATAAGTTAGTTTTTAGTCTATAAATAGTTGTAATTTCATGACTTTTAGATATGGAATTTTTCAGATTAATAAATCAAAGTATTTGTTTGTTTTGCAATCAAAACATTCGTTTCTTAAGCTGGTGATTAGGTTCTTTAAGCTTTGTTTAAGTTGATTAACTAAGGGGTGGTGTGACCTTTAACTTAATTAATCTACTTTTCTTGTTTAATTGTTGGTGGACGAATCCTATGGAGAATTAGGCTTGAATTATCCCTGTGTGTGTTTAAGTTTCTTGAACATACGCATCATCTTGGTATCAGAGCCAGGTTTGATAAAACTTAAACTGGGAACGTTGTACTGGGAATTTTTGAGTGATTCTTTTTGCGTTGGACTCCAAAAACGTCCAACTACCACGTCCTAAAATTTCGTAATTTTTGGATAAGTAACGAGTTCTACACAGCCTCAAACTTTTGGTGTTGCTGCACTGATTTGCAGTTGAGAACCCGATTTTGTTTTGCTTCATTATTCATCCAAGATTCGATCTTTTAATCAAGATTTTTGCATAAACTAACTGTGTTTGTGTAGAAATTATGGGTGACAGAGAGAGACCAGTAGTTCCAAGGAATTTAACCTTAGAACAAGCACAGAACCTTCGAAGAGATCGACAGATTACCGAATTGGCAGCAAGGTTGGATGAGGTACTAAGGAGACTTGATGTTCGTGACAAATCTTCTTCAAAGAAGGGCAATTCTGACTCTAATCTAGACTCAAGTGATAAGGGAAGTTCAAGAAGGAGAAAACCTAAAAAACCTAGGAAAGACTACTCATCAAGTGATGAATCTCCAAGGCCTAGAAGGAGAGATAAGCGCAAGGATGATGATAAAAGCTTGAGATTAGATCTTCTAGATTTCTATGGTAGTCTAATTAACCCGAAAAGTATCTTGAGTGGGTAAGGAGAGCCAAAACCCTATTTGATTTTAAGGACTATGATGGGAGAAAAAGATGCAAGGTGGTTGAATGCAAGTTGGTTGGATATGCAAGCTTGTGGTATGATAACTTGAAAAAGAAAAGGGAAAGAGAAGGTAGGGATAGGATTCGAACATGGAGTCAACTTAAGAAGCACATGAAGAAGAAATTTGTTCCTGAAGACTATGTGCAAGATCTCTACATAAAGATGCAAACTTTCAAGCAAGGTACATCTAGTGTTGAATCTTCTATTACTGAATTTGAAAGATCTGATATGCTTTGTGATTTAGATGAAAGGCAAGAGCATAAAGTAGCTAGATTTATTGCTAGATTGAATGAAGATATTGCGGAAAAGGTTGAGATACAACCATATTGGAACTATGATGATGTGTGTAAGGTTTCCATTCGATTTGAAAAGCAATTAAAAGGGAAGAAGGGGTCGTACACTAAAGGGGGTTCTAAGACTTTTGAAAAGCCGGATTCAAGTAAATTTAATGCTAGCAATTCGTCTACTTCCAAGCAAGATAAACCTAAGTTCGAACCTAACAAGAAGCTTGAAGGTGAGGATAAGAGAAAGTGTTTCAAGTGTAGGAGCTATGGTCACATATCAAGCACTTGTCCTTCAAAGAGAGTGATGACTGCACATGAGTGGGAACAAGAGCAAGTGTTGCGTGAGAATGCTGGAAACTATGAGGAAGATAAGGAGCAAGAAAATGATGCAGAAGAGGAGGAGCATGTGAGTGAAGTAGAGCCCGAAACACATGGTAAAAGCTTGGTTTTGAGAAGAGCACTACACTCCCAAACCGTACCTATGGAGAACAATCAAAGAGAGAAAAATTTTCTTACAAGGTGCAAAGTGAAAGAGAGATTGTGTGACATGATCATTGATTCGGGGAGTTGCACTAATGTGGTGTCTACTACTCTAATTGATAAATTGAAGCATCCTACAACCGAGCATCCTCAACCATACAAGCTCCATTGGCTAAGCAACACTAGTGATGTGGAGGTAACAAAACAAGCCTTGATTTCTTTTTCTATTGGCAAATTTAAGGATCAAGTGCTTTGTGACGTTTGTCCTATGGATGCATGCCACATATTTCTAGGGAGACCTTGGCAATTTGATAGATTTGTGAAGTATGATGGTAGAACTAATGTGTATGTTGTTAAAAAGGGAGAAAAAGACAAACCAATTGCTTTGAAATCCTTAATTTCAAATCTACCAAAGATCACTTCTAATTCGCAAGGCTTGCTGATGATTAATGAGAAAGAATTTGATAAAGCAGTGGCGCAAGAAGGTTGCTTTTATGTGTTGGTTTCAAAGGAAATTAAAGAAGAAATTAAGGTGCAAACGCCTTCGGTTTTGGAGCCTATTTTGCGTGAGTTCGATGATGTGTTTCTGGATGAATTACCACCTGGTTTGCCTCCAATTCGTGGTATTGAACATAAAATTGATTTTATTCCGGGAGCTCCTTTACCAAACAAAGCTGCTTATAGAAGTAATCTTGAAGAGACTAAGCAGATGCAAAGGCAAATTGAAGAACTCATGGTGAGGAGTTATGTGCGTGAGAGTATGAGTCCTTGTGTGGTGCCTATGGGAGTTGGTGCATGTGCATAGATAGTAGGAGTGTGAACAACATCACAATCAAATACAGGTTTCCAAATCCAAGGCTAGATGATCTACTTGATGAGCTGCATGATTCGAAAATATTTTCAAAATTGATCTCATGAGTGGTTATCATCAAATTCGAATGAGAGAAGGGGATGAATGGAAAACTGGATTCAAGACTAAGTTAGGGTTGTATGAATGGTTGGTGATGCCTTTTGGCCTTACTAATGCTCCTAGTACTTTCATAAGGTTGATGCATGAAGTTCTTAAACCTTTCCTTGGTAAGTGTGTTGTGGTTTCTTAGATGATATTCTGATTTACTCAAAAAATATGCATGATCATCTTAACCATCTAAGAGGCGTGTTTGAAGTTCTAAGAAAGCAAATTAAGGTTGTATGCAAAGCTAGAAAAATGCTACGTTCATGTACCAAGTGTGACTTTTCTAGGGTACATAGTATCAAAAGATGGTGTTTCTGTTGATCCATCTAAGGTAGAAGCAATTAAATCATGGCTGGTTCCTAAGAATGCTTTGGAGGTACGTTCTTTTCCTGGTTTAGCTTCTTTTTATAGAAGATTTGTGAAAAACTTTTCTAGTATTGTTGCACCTATGACTAAATGTTTGAAGAAAGAAAGAATTAAATTTGAGTGGAGTAAAGAGGCGCAACATGCCTTTGATTTAATCAAGAAGAAATTGTGTGAAGCTCCTATTTTAGCTCTACCTATCTTTGCTAGTCCATTTGAGGTGGAAACTGATGCAAGTGGAGTAGGAATTGGTGCGGTTCTAATTCAAAGGAAGTGACCTATTGCTTACTTTAGTGAAAAATTGAATGGTGCTCGATCGAATTACTCTACTTATGACAAGGAATTCTATGCAATTGTCCGGGCTTTAGATCATTGGAGTCATTATTTGCGTCCTAATCATTTTGTGCTTCATTCGGATAATGAGTCTCTAAAGTACATACATGGACAACAAAAATTGAATCCGAGACATGCTAAGTGGGTGGAATTTCTACAATCATTTAATTTCTCTTCTAAGTACAAAGAGGGGAAGACTAATATTGTTGCAGATGCATTGTCAAGAAGGTATTCTTTACTTGGTGTTTTGAATTTTCGATTACTTGGTTTTGATTTGATCAAAGAGTATTATGCAAGTGATGAAGATTTTGCACCTATACTTGAGAATTGTGCAAAGGGGGCTGTAGATTCCTATGTGACTCAAGATGGTTTTCTTTTCAAGGGGAATCGATTGTGTGCTCCCAAGTGTTCTATTCGTGAGTTGATTGTGAGAGAAGCTCATGGTGGAGGAATTGCAGGGCATTTTGGTATTAATAAAACTCTCAGTATTCCACAAGAGCATTTTTATTGGCCTTAGATGCAAGGGGATATTCAATCTGTGATTGCAAGGTGTGCTTCATGTCAAAAGGCAAAGAGTGTGTTCCATCAAGGTCTTTACACTCCTTTACCTGTTCCTCATTTTCCTTGGAAGGATGTCTCCATGGATTTTATAGTTGGATTACCTCGAACTCAAAGGGGTAAAGATGTTATCATGGTGGTAGTTGATAGATTCTCTAAAATGGCTCATTTTATTGCTTGTCACAAAACTGATGATGCATTGCATATAGTTGATCTTTATTTTAGAGAAATTTTTCGGTTGCATGGTATGCCTAAAACAATTGTGAGTGATAGGGATGTTAAATTCACGAGTTTCTTTTGGAAGTATTTGTGGAAGCTAGTTGGAACTAAGCTTTTATTTAGCACTTATTATCATCCTCAAACGGATGGGAAAACGGAAGTTACTAATTGAACTTTGGGAGTATTGTTGCGTGGATTGGTAAGTAAAACTCAAAAGGATTGGGATGTTAAACTTGCTCATGCTGAGTTTTCTTATAATCGTTCTCCTACTTATACTACTAATCATTCACCTTTTGAGATTTTGTATGGTACAAATCCAAGGCTACCTTTGGATTTAATTCCTTTTCCTAAGGGAGAATTGGTGAATCATGATGCTAAGACCAAAGTTCAAGTGACGCAGAAGTTACATGCTCAAGTGCGTGCTAGAATTGAGAAGATAAATTCAATGTACAAAGAGAGAGCAAATCAACATAGAAAGCCACAAAACTTCAAGGTTGGTGATTTGGTGTGGTTTCATATAAGGAAAGAAAGATTTCCAAGCAAGAGAAAGAATAAACTCATGCCTCAAAGTGAAGGTCCTTTCAAGGTTATTGAGAAAGTGAATGATAATGCTTTCAAGCTCGATCTTCCCGGTGACTATGGTGTAAGTGCTACATTTAATGTGGGAGATTTGGCTCGTTATGTTCATGATGATGAACTTCGAGATTTGAGGACAAATTCTTTTGATGAAGAGGAGGATGATCCGGATATTGAGAACTTCGAGAGTTTGTTAAATCTTTACAAGGAAAACCTAAACTTGAACATTAACTCATTAGAAGTTACAAATTGGCGATTCTTGGACGGTTCAAGCAAAGGAACTTGGTGTCTAGTACAAGCTCAAGTTCCGGATCACTCTACTTACTCTACTTAGTGGTTTTTAATTAGTTTTTGCTTGCAAGTTTTTACCTTTCACTTGAAAGGGTTTTTCTTGGTTTAAGCACTTAGGATTAATTTTATTTATTTTAGGAATTATAGACTAAGTAGAATTAGTTTCCTAATCTAAGTAGAATTGGAATTAGTTACCTAATCTAAGTAGAATTAGTTTTCCTATTCTATTTGGGTTAATTGGGGCTAAAGGCTAGGGACTTGTCCTACTCCTATTAGACTTAGAATTAGTTAGTTTTTAGACTATAAATAGTTGTAATTTCATGACTTTTAGATATAGAATTTTTCAGATTAATAAATCAAAGTATTTGTTTGTTTTGCAATCAAAACATTGTTTCTTGAAGCTGGTGATTAGGTTCTTTAAGCTTTGTTTAAGTTGATTGATTAAGGGGTGGTGTGACCTTTAACTTAATTAATCTACTTGTCTTCTTGTTTAATTCTTGGTGGACGAATCCTATAGAGAATTAGGCTTGAATTATTCTTGTGTGTGTTTAAGTTTCTTGAACATACGCATCACTAGCATATTAGTACTTTCTTGCTAAATTTACTCCATAATGATCTGCCAGGCATCAGACTCTCTCTCCTGTAATTTCGATGTTGATGCGGTGAATTTAAAGAATGGTGATGGTCAATCATATGAGCCATTTGGTGATTGTTGTGGCTTAGTACTTTGTGGTGGCTTTGTAAGGCGATGGTGGTTGATGGTAGTGGGGTTGGTCTGATTTGGTGGATTGAAATTAGATGGCTGTCAACGGCGGTGAGTCACTGGACAATGTCAATTCGTTTGACGTGCCTTAAAATTTCAGTTATCTGATCCAAAATTTCAAATATGCTGCAAAATTAATATTATATAAATTATCTGATCTGTTTTCCTCAAAAAAAAAAAAAAGTGATCCAAAACCCTGAAAAACAATTGATTCGAAATTCCATGGTCAAATCCAAATTTCCAATAATCTAATCCGGATCAGATATAAATTGCATTTTTTTCCAATCGGATATGTCCTAGAGACCGAGACTACAATGCCCTAATAATTAGTACAGAGACACATAATATTGGATAAAATCTAATTTTATACCTATATATTGCACTTAAAAAAACAAAGAAAGTATTTGGAAAAACATCTCAAACTTCAAACTTGTAGCGATATTGTATGAAGATAAGCGAATATCAGTTTAAGAATAGATGCCCTAATTCTTGGAAGGCTAAACATCTCTCCAAAGCTGGAAGGGTCATTCTCATCAAATCATCCTTGGCCTCCATTCCCATATACACAATGCAGGTTATATGCCTTCCTAAGAAACTTGCTACAACCATTGACCAAATCTGCTAAAACTTCTTTTGGGGCACCATCAATGAAAAGAGACAAAACCCCCTTATTGCCTGGGATAAGATCTGCTGCCCTAAAGAGAGAGGAGGATTAGGTTTTAGGCTAACCCATACCCAAAATATTGTCTCTATGGCCAAGCTAGGGTGGAAAATGCAGAACTCTTCTAATCTCTCAGCCATTTTACTTAGAGAAAAGTACTGCCATAAGAGTAACCCTACCAGCTTTAAGGATGGTTCTCACATTTGGCAAGATATTAGAAAGGGCTGGAATCTTCTCACCTCTTTCTCTCAGTAGGCCATTGGTAAAGGGGATCAATGCTTGCTATAAGAAGACAGCTGGTCTGGCTTTGGCAGCCTCAGATCTATCATCCAAGGCCCCTTGCAGGAGAATGAAGAGGACAAGACTGTTAGCTCCATTATCTCCAATGGTGTCTTTGATCTCTCCAGCTGCCAACACTTTTTGCCTCCTCACATCACCAGTCACATAAATGCTTTAGTTCTCCCCTGCCATGGGGAGGACTATGTCTTCTCTTCTCTAGGTAAGGGTGACTATTTTGATTCCAAGGCTGCCTACCTTTCTCTGTGGCTCCAAAATGCAAATCAACCTCCCTCCCGAATGTTTAAGAACCTCGGGACTCTCCAAGTTCCCCCTACTATCAAATTTTTTCTTTGGTTATGCTTATGGAATAGGTTGCCCACTGCCCAACACCTCCATACTAGGCACATAATAACCTCAGGCTCTTGCAGCTTCTGTCTTGGTACTCCTGAAACTATCTCCCATATTCTTAGAGACTGTCATAGGGACAAAGAAATCTAGGACTTAGTTCAGCCTCCCATCACACATCATTCAAACCATTTGGATGAGTGGCTGACTGAAAACCTAACCCTTTCCACTGATCACTCCACTCTAAGCCTCCCTTAGAATCAATCCTTTGCCATCATCACTTGGAAAATCTGGTTAAGGAGAAATGAATGGATCTTCAATAAGAAATCCACTCCAGCACCTTCCATCATCCATGCCATGAAGAATATGGCCACTGAGCCCTCTCTCCTTGGACCTTCCTCCCTCCATCAAATTCGAACACACCAATTGCCCCAAACTAACCATCTGTGTAATCTGGGATCTGGCCAGAGGATAATAGTTAATGCTTCTTACAAGGATCAAAATCATGCTACTAGCCTAACATGCATATGTAGAGATCAACACAACTGGATAAAGGGTATAGCTCTCCATAGCTTCAAATCCTCTGCCCTAATGGCTGAAACTATAGCCATTATCATAGCTATTGCTTGGGCAATCAAAGAATGATGGGAAGAGTTCACCATTATTTTTGATTGCCAAAGACCAGTGACAGGAATCAACAAAGCTAACCCTACTGTTGATGAAATGGGGAACCATTATCTATTTTGCAGGGACCTGCTAAGAAGGACTACAAGGAAAAGGCTGTGCAAGAGAATCACGGACTCAGTCAAGGAAGCGGATGTGGCGGCCAGGCAAGCTATGCTGCATCTAACTCCTTCTAGAAGTGCATGGAAGCTGAACTCTATTTTGGATATATGTGTGTGTCAGTTGTGAGTATACAAATTGCTGAAGATTAAAAAAATTAAGCTTTGCTAAAATATCACGTCCTAAACCGTAATTGTTCTCCTACACCAGTGTCAGTTGTGAGTATCTCTCTATCAAAACCGGGAGCCCAAAAAAGCCCAACAAGGTAAACCGTAGAAGATGATGCGTTAAATTAATACTTGAGAACGCAACAGAGCAACAGAGAAATGGCTGTAATGACAACATCAGTTTCTGCATCATCACCTCCACCATTTTCCTCTATTCCCGCCAACTCCAAACACAGAAACAACCCTAACAAAATCCCTCCATTTTCAACCTCCATTAAAACTCAGAATCCATCACTTCAGAAATCACCAAAATCCCCCAAATTTTCCCCCAAAAATCCCCGGAAAACAGCTCCAAAACGAGATAAATCAACATACCCTTGGTCATTTCCACTGCAAAAGAAAAACCCACATTCAATTTACAAAGATATTCAGAGATTTGCAAGAAGAAACCAGCTCAAAGAAGCTCTCACAATTCTAGATTATTTGGAGCAACAGGGTATCCCTGTAAATGCTTCAACATTCTCTGCTTTGATTGCTGCCTGTATTCGCTCGAAATCGAAAGCCGAAGCGAAACAAATTCATGCCCATATCAGGATTAATGGGGTTGAAAACAATGAATTCCTTAAACCCAAGATTGTTCAAATGTATGTTTCTTGTGGATTAGTTGATGATGCCAAAAGGGTATTTGGTGATGATGACAATGAAGAATCTAACAGTGTTTATTCATGGAATGCATTGCTTAGAGGTAATGTTGTTGTAGGTGGAAGAAAATACAAGGATTTGTTGTATACTTTTGCTAGAATGAGAGAAACTGGGGTTGAATTGAATGTGTATAGTTTTTCTTGTTTGATCAAGAGTTTCGGCGGCGCGGCGGCTTTTAGGCAAGGATTAAAGATACATGCATTGCTGATTAAGAATGGATTTATAGGCAGTGAGATGTTGAAGACAAGTTTGATTGATATGTACTTTAAATGTGGTAGAGTTAAGCTTGCTTACCACCTGTTTGATGAAATGTCTGAGAGAGATGTTGTTCTTTGGGGTGCAATGATTGCAGGGTTTGCGCATAATAAGTTGCCTAGAGAAGTGATTAGGTATACTAGGTGGATGATTAAGGAAGGTGTATTGCCGAATTCGGTTGTATTAACTACAATGCTTCCCATTCTTGGGGAACTTGGGGCATGGAAGATGGGTAAGGAGGTTCATGCCTTTGTGATCAAGAGAAGAAATTATATGGAGCAGCCGTTTTTGAAGTCGGCTTTGATTGATATGTATTGTAAGTGTGGGGATATGACTTATGGGAGGAAAGTGTTTTATAATTCCGGTGATAGGACGACTGTTTCATGGACTGCTTTGATGTCTGGTTACATATCGAATGGTAAGCTTGATCAGGCTATAAGGTCAATTATATGGATGCAACAAGAAGGGTTTAGGCCTGATGTCGTTTCGTTGGCAACAATCCTTCCGGTTTGTGCTAAGCTGAAGGCGTTGAAGCAAGGAAAGGAGATACATGGGTTTTTGTTGAAGAATGGATTTCTTCCTAATGTATCATTGATAACATCATTGATTGTGATGTACTCGAAATGTGGTGTCTTGGAGATTAGTCGTAGGTTATTTAATGGCATGGAAGCAAGAAATGTGATTGCTTGGACAGCTTATATGGTTTCTTGTATTGAAAACGAGCATCCAGTTGAAGCCCTTGATGTATTTAGGTCAATGCAGCAATCCAAGCACAGGGCAGATTCCGTTACAATGTCTAGAATATTAGAACTTAGCCACAAACTCAAATTGTTGAAACTAGGGAAAGAACTCCACGGACAAGTATTGAAGAAGGGCATTGAGTACGTTCCTTGGGTTTTAGCACGACTTGTGAAGTTCTATGGAAAATGTGGAATGATTGAGAAAGCAAAGTTGTTGTTTGATCTCTACCCTTGCGATGGTGCAGTAGCACCAACTGCCATGATGATGGCTTATGGATATAATAATTGTTATAGAGAAGCGCTGGCTCTTTTTAACGAAATGTTGATTGAAGGTAAGCCTCCTAATACGGACACCTTAGATGTGGTTTTAGCTATTTGTGATCAAGCTGGATTCGCAGATGATGCATGTAAAATCTTCCAACTCATGACTCGAAAATATAGAATCAAGCCATCTAAAGAGCAATACTCTGTTATGGCTGGACTTCTTACTCGTTCCGGTCACTTTCAGGAGGCTGAAAGATATATTCAATGGGGTTCTAAGTTGGATTCTTAACATCAAGCAGTCCCTTCTTTGGAGATTTTGTAGGAATTGACAGGTGCAATAGGAAGCAAAACTATTGTGTACTTGTATTGTATCTATGTATACATAGCATTCATTGACAAAGTACTCATAAGAAAGGTTTTTTGTGCAGCTTTTTCATTTGCAATCTTGATCATCGTATTTCATTCTATTAATATCTGGTCTCCTCCTTCCGAAATTAAAATCTGTAAGAGCCTGAGACTTCACTGAGTTATTCCCTTTACCTCTCTACTTATTTACTCTGAACCTAGTTAAGGATCTTTTATCTGCTGCGGTGATATTGTATCCTCATGCAACAAGTGATTATAACACCAAAATCAAACAAGTCAGGCTTGAACCGAGTTCACATTAACCCCAAGACTAGATACCAGTCTGAGAGCTGAGTGTAAATGCTGAAATCCATACAAGAGCACTTCTAGCTTTACCTCACTCAAGTGTTATACCAGAACTAGTGACTTTAACTGGTGAAAGTTAACGTCAATGATTACAGTGATGGTTTTGGCAAAAACATTCCTAGAATGCCTTAGCAGTTTGTGTCCTGTGGCCAACTAAGTAGTCAATAAGAACTCATATGTATGCAGGCTCTGGGAGCACATAAAGGAAATAGCAGATGACTGACCTGCTGAGGTATGATAGCACCTCAATCTGCTGATTAAAAGATCCAGCCTAAAATGCAAGACATTGCTTAGTTTTATATTTGGCGCAATTTACCTGATTATCTACTTAGTTCAATTGCATACTTTGTAGCTGATTAATTTAACATTTCGTGAACTCATAGGCAAACTTGTTTGACACCAGCAGAAGAATAGGAAATGGATTTTCTTGCCGAGATTGATTTGTGTAGTTCATTAATGAGATAAATTTGAACAAGCTGTTCAACTCATATAATGAGAGGTTGTCCTGGTTTGGCTGGTGAGTGGTGGCAGCGGACTTGTTAACAACCATTGTGGCCTGTTAAAGGTTGCCTTCTCACCAAAGTTCGGCATATATACTGCTTTCCGAGCAGAGACAGGATTGTCAGGTGGGTATTGAGATAGCTTGGAATATGGGGATTAGTACGCTCATAATACATATTAACAGTCAAACCAGGTCTGGCATTAAAAGGGTTAATCACCTTAATCAAATTTATAAAGTTTGTCAGCAACCCAAAACAGAGAAGGCAGGGAGTACATTTCCTATACATTTGCTTTTGTCAAACAAGTTCAATTTTGATTAGTTCGCAAGTAACCAGCTTACATGCACATTTGCAAATTCGCAACCCTTGGCTAAAATCAGAAATTACATGAACAATAAATCAGATTACTAACATCTAAGGATGTAAACAAAACACGAATGAAGAATAGATGAATATAAGCTATATTCTCTGTCAAATGATAAAAATACTTACATGGGTGTTAAAGGGATAAACCAATTAAATGATTAATATTAACGCAAATGCACGTCAATAGATCTTGAATAACTGTAAAACCCATCGGAAAATTTGATACCACACGCTGACAACAAAAAATTCTCTAGGTCGACTGCATCACCCCTCCCTCTTCTAAAACATGGGTGGAGAAATGTTTCCTTCAAAGTGCACTCTTGACATACTCAAAACCTAGTCTCAAATATAATATGCTCTATGCCAAAACTTCTGTCGATTAAAAAATGGGACAAGCTCCAAAGAAAAGTGATGAAGAAAATTTTCTATGAAGGAAATTTGTTTATGGAAACTTGGCATTATAAGGAATATTAGGACCTAAGATCGGAATAGGTTGCATGGAAGAAAAATGAGGTGATGACAGGCGATGAATGTGACTCGGCGTTGTAAATGACTGCGGTCCATTTGCCATCAAAGGTGAAGTCATGGAAATTGGCAATGGCTGACCAGCTAGAACACCTGCAAATGAAAACCAAAGCATTATATAGTGAAAAGTCATTTTAAAGAAGCAATGATTATCAGTATTTCAATCACAACAAATTTACATTTGTAAACACAGCTCTACTGCCCAAACCCTAGAGGAATGAACAATTCTGAATAGAAAGGAAATTTTTTTTTCCTTTTCTGAAAGTTAATTGATGTAGGACATTTATGCCACCAACAGATGTATAATAGGGGATTAACAAGCCAAATATCGATAGACTCCATTCAAGGGACATATTGAATTTGGGAATAAAAAGAAGAAATCAACATTAAACTTCAGAAAAGCAATATGGGCCATATTGAATACAAAACTTCGTGTCTTAAATTGTGCAACATCAGGCACACCAAACCCTAATGGCTAATGATATAGACATTTTATCTTGTGCAGGATTTGGGAGATGATTACATTCTCTATGAACATGTAAACATTCGTCACCAGTGCAGTATTGCACCAAGCATCTCAAATTACACATTACTATCATACCTTCATTCTTGGCAAAACCAACATGGATTGGATGTGATGCCAATAAGGGGTGTGGAGCTTGTGATGAGAGAGATCCAGGAGCCTGAATCACGTCCTTCAAATCAAAAGGTAGCCAATTTAGCAAGTAGCAAAAGCAAACATGTAAAATTCAAAGAAAGTGATCAAAGAGCCCCAGCAATAAATAAATAAATAATTAATTAAAATTAAAATTTTTAAAAAAGAAAAAAAAAAAAAAAAGTAAACTCACATGAGAAACTGGATGAATATAGACGACCTGTCCAGGCCTTCCAAATATGCCCTGCAGGAGTTGACACATTCATTAGCTGATCAAATGAGCAAATCACTATAAGAAAGCAAAAGGCTTTCACTGATGTTGCTGCACAGAGCTGAACCAGCAGCAGTGCAAACATAATTCAAAATTCGAAATTTAGTTGAGATATAATTCAAATATTACATACATTTTGAGAATTAGGATGTACATATGAAGGCATGGCTTGAATCGGTTGGTACTGTCCACCATGTCTAATAGGCTGTGCTCTTGTTGCAATAAGACCAGCAATCTGCTTGCAGAAAAAGGATAAATAAGGTTAATGAAATTCAAGCAATATCAAATGCAATTCTTACACTCCCAAGAATGTTCAGGGGATTCCTTTCCTTAGGCCCTATTCTATTCACCTCATTTTTGTTAAACTTAAATTATTAACTGATTTTTTTTTCTACTGATCAAAACTGATTTTTACAGATTAAGATTACTTTATAATGATATTGTTATTTGTTCTTTGGAGTTACTCATTTTTCTGAACTTATATTCCATCAATCAATCAATCAAAGCCTTAATGCCATAAGTGGAGTCAGCTACATGAACCAAATTTGATGTAGGCAACCCCACTTAGTTCAGAAATCAAATTTGATGTAATCAAACCAAATTTGATTTCTGAACTTATATTAACTTCACTAATTTAAATTGAATTTAACCAATTTAAACTTATTTTTATATAGATTAAAGCTGATTATTAGTGAATACTTTTTTTAGGATGAAAGAACAAGGCCTTATAATGAATCAAGAAGACCAGATAGTACATACAGGTTGATTATATTGAAGACCATTATCAGGATTCATTGTTGTTGAAGTAGCATAAGGAACAAACTTAACAGGCCAAGATGAACGTGGTACAATGGATCTGTTTCCAAGTTCTGGCTGTGCACCAGCTATTTGTACTGCAGGAATGTTGTTGGGTACATAAGGAACACTTGGAACTGTTGGCACCAAAGGTGGTGTTGATCTGAAGTTAGGAAGAGATGGTGAGAAATCTTTTGCACTTGGATTGAGCTTGGACTCCTGAAATTTAGCATAAAATAGGAGAAATTATACTGTGAAGTATACATGTTAACATTAGTAAACCAGAAGACAGATAACATAAGGGTGCTCAACGAAAAAAAGACCCATAAATTGCGTACATCATCTGTATTTATACCTCCCAAGAGCACAAGTCAACAATGAAAGGACTTTGTCTGAATGACCCACATACAATACTTTTGTGAAAAAAGGTAAGCAGTAACATATTGTAAAATCCCTATTTCAAACAGGGTAGCAGTAAACAGAAAATCACAAGTTACAGGCATACAAGCAAATTCATTAAACTGCTCCTGGAACAGAGAGAAAGGCAAAGTGAAACAGAATAATGACTTCCACTGTGATAAGTTAAAATGAATCATTATCTTTACCTTAGCAGTCTTACTAGGAAGTGGATTCTGAAGAGCCCTTTCCACTGGAACTGCCAAAGGAGTACGAGATGCATCCGAATCTGTTTTTGAAGAATCAGAAACCTCCGAAGCAACAGATTCTGTACATGTCAAATCTTTAGCAACGAGCTGATTTGCATGATTGACATCCAAAGATGCATCAGTGGCGGACAGTGATCCATTGGCTAATTGGTTGACTACAGTCCTCTCGTGAATCTCCTTGTGAACATTCAGTTTGTTGTGGGCTTTATTCACTGGTAGTATAGCATAACAGATGAAATTAGTAGTCACACAAGGAAAAAGAGAAGGTGCCAAAAACAGAATTGTATTGAAACATTACCATAATTCACCAGTAATAAGTATTGAAAAGAAAAATTATACCAAATGTTATAATGAATCAGGCACTCAGTCAACAAAGAATAAGGACCAAAAGTTGAGACATACCGCAAAACGAAAGTAGAAATAAACACAATAACCGAAAAAAAAAAAAAAAAAAAAGGAATAAGGTCCAGCAGCTGACTAAAGAGCAGGAACATTCGTCACCAAAGGTCAAATGTAATAGTTTTCGGTCAGTGAAACTGTGAAACAATCAAAGATAATTCAGAATTTTTTTTCTAAATGCTAGATTCATTTAAAATTATGAAAGTGAATATGTAATTTCAAATGAAACATGAAATGCTCATTTCAAATTCTTTTATTGTGATCTTTCCTTCATGATTCCATTTAGCATTGCTTCAGTACACATTCACCTCACAACTTTCTTCATCTCTCAACCCTTAAATTCACTCTCTCCACACCTCTTCCTCAACCATCACGACCAATGCCTCCAATAGAAGTCTCAGCCATCATTCGTAGACAATGAAATCATTTATTATTCACTCCGTGCTTGCGTGAGGTAGCCTTGAATATGAATCAGTCTTTTTTTTTTCTATTGCTATCTGATTAATTCCAGAATCTTAAGTTCTATGCAATTATCTACCTGAAACATTCCAAATTGTAATAATAATGGAACTTAATAGTCAAAAATGGATTATTTCAGCAAAAATTAATCAAATAATTTTAAAAAGTTGTAAATTTTGTATTTCATCATCAAAAGTCTACTCATTTCCCAAACATCAGATGAATCTGAAATTCCAGAAATTTAAACTCCTAGTAATTACCAAACATTGTATTTGAAAATGGATATCTGAACGTCAATTTCCGGAATTGAATTTTTGGGATTTAAAATAAATTCAAAATTTCCTAACACAACCTAAAGGTTATTTTTAAAAATGATGTAAACAAAACTTTACTGAAAGAATCTGCCATCAAACGATACCAGAAAAAACTAGAATAGTAATTCGGTAGAAGCTACCCCCATCACCTTATTTTTATTCATAGGAAATCAATTAATGGTTCCAAGCCAAGTATTCCCCTTCCTAGTGTGATAATCCAAGCATCAGTATCCAGTGTTCCGGGATAAAATTTCTGCTTTGTTGAATGAAAAAAGGTCTGCAATCTAAAGGGTTTTTTTCACAATGGAGTCCCTAATAGCATAACTAAGTTCTTTGGAGAAGAAAAGAGAGAAGCTTACACTGAGGAAAGATTAAATATATGATGTACTATTGTACTTACAGCTTTTACTTGAACCATTAACTTTGGCAACCTGCATAAGAGAACGGTAACTTGGTTACAAACAGCTACAAGGAAATAAATATACCCTAAAATGGGTAACATTATAGATGTCCAAATAAATACATACTTCCTTCAAGGCCTTAGATTGATGAAGGTAACCATCTTCTTCCTCATGAGGCATGATTACCCCAACCTGTCTGTCCATCCAAAAGAAGAAAAAATCATGAATCTGAGACCACAAACTTATTTTTAAAAGAAAAACTACCTTATTTACCAATCAAAATATACCCAGCTAGTCTTTGAGCTAAGCACTAATCTTAGCCCAGCCTTAGGTACATGTACACTCAAACTGTCTCAGGAGTTTAAATTTCTCCTCCCTCTCCCTTAGCAACACCTTGACGGTCACTAAAAATGTGATCAAATGCTTCCACAGCTATAGCAACGCCTCCACAGTTTGAACACTTATCCTCTCAAGTTAGCAATAAAACTAAGCCCTATAATTTGCTACTAAATATTCATCCTAAGCTTCCTCATTCATAGGTTTCAGAGTTGAAGTTGCTACAGTAACTTTCTCTTTCTCTCCCATTCTTTACAGGTGATAAGAAGCAAAGTAAAATTATTGTGAAGGGATGAAGAGTGAAAAATAAAACTGCTCAAGGATAGCAAAAGGAAAAAATTGCAAAGGCTCTAAGCCATACTTAACCAGAAAATAGTCACCTCTCCGAATTCCTCCGTTCATTAGTCAAAGCAGCTCCATTTTCAGAAATTCGAGAAGATTCAATTGTTACAGAAACAGTCTCCTCGTCCCCACAATTAGCACAACTAGAAGCATAGTCAGCTGGAAGCATAACACCCTATACAGAGAAGGAATAAAACCACTTAATTCAATGATTTAACACCAATTGAAAACCTTACACAATATCCAAAGTTAAGAGAATTGTAACACCTTGGCAACAACTTGAACAAGATCTCCAGGTTGAACAACAAGAGTATCAATTAGGCCACCATTTGACACATTTGAACTCTGTGTGCCCTTCCTAATCATCCTTGCTTTCTTCAAAATGATACCTAAACATTGAACAAAGTCGGAATTCGAAATAAATATTCAATTCCACAGCAAATCAATTACATCCCACATTCAATTCCTTCCCAAATCCAGCAAGAGTAAATAAACCTAGATCAAAACTAACACAAAACCCCACATAAATTACTCACATAATATGATAACACCATAAATTCTGAAATCAAAAGCCCATAAGCAACATGTAAAAGCAATCAAAACCCAGAAATTAACAACCTAGATCCAAACACACATGATGCAATTGAAATAAATTGTTTACACAACTAACAACAATTCCTAGATAAAATCAAAACCCAAATGCAATACATAACAACAAATAAAACCCAGAAAATGAATATCATTTCTCATACTAAAAATTTCAAAAATCAATTAACAAAATTGCAGAAGATCAAATAAGGGAGCAAGAAACAAACCATAACCCTTATCAACAGAAGCAGTATGGAAGATTCCAGAAAAGACAGAACCATCTTTGGTGTAAACTTCAACAGGAAGACCAATGATGCACATGGTAGTGAATAGAAGAGCTTCGCTAAGTGATGCAGTTGTTGTTGTTGTTTCATCTTCTGTGAATTCTCTCCCCATTTTCTGAAAATTGGTGATCTCTTTCTGTGTTTCTCTCTCTTTTGGTGAGTGAGGAGAATAGGGAAAAGGGGGGAAGTTACGCTTACAGCAAAGATCGGGGGACCTCTCGCTGTTTTCTGGGTGGCGCTTCGAGGTCTCTGCCAAAATGTTCAAATGTGAAGCCTTGTTTGACGTACAAATTTATAAATAGTCTACTCCGTCGCCTGTGACATTATTCACCAGGTTTATTTATACGAGTAAGCTTTTTAGCTTTTACAATCGGTGTAGACGGGTAAACGTATGTTAAGGGCATTTTGGTTATTATGCGACTAGAGTTTTTGTTGGAGTTTTGCGTCGTTTGGAAAAATTAGTTGTTGTAACTTGTAAGTGTATTGATAGATGTCAGCAATAGTCTCAATAGATGCTAAAAATAGGTATTTGGTGAGAAAGTGTTCGACACAAATATTTATTGAAATAGTGGGGGGAAAAAAAAATTAGTATAGTATAGAAGTTTAGAACTTTAAAGGTTGATTTAAGACGGAGTAGCAATTGACAAGCACTACTTCAAAAGTTAATGTTTACAACTTTTTGTTAACACACTATTTCATAAACTGAAATTGTCATCCATCACTACTCGTACTGCTTGAATCAATGTTTTGGAGTAGTGAGTGACAGCTCAGAGTTAAGGAAATTGCAACGAGAAAGCAGACTATAGTTTATAGACGAGTGAGCTATAGCTCACACATCATCGCGGCATGAGGGAGCTATAGCTTTGGGCGAATGAGCTTCCAATAAAAGCATAGTATATACTTCCTCCGTTCTAGTAATATTGCAACAACTGGACTTTTGCATTATTCATCATGCTTGTTTGACCAAATATTATGATTTATACGTAAAGTAAAATATATTCATATGGGGTCTTATTAGATTTGTCTCGTAAAATACTTTCACAATATCAACTTTTTATAATTTTTACTCTTATATAATTATAAATATTTAACATATAAAATATGCTTTGGGATGCGTAACTTCATCGTTGTTGCAATATGTGTGGAACGGAGGAAGTAGAAAGTTTCGGAAAATCAGTTTTCTACCTATGACGATTGTTTGAATCATACTTGGTGAGACATTAATTTAGGACTCTTTGTACATATGGATATACCACATAAACCCTTGTGTTCCTAAGTTCAAGTCTCATCCGATCCCAAGTGATTTGACTAAGAAAATCTCTTTTAAAATGAGATGAGTGATATACATTCCTAACCTTACGTCAGATAACGGCGTGTATAATTAATAGTAGCTATTGCCGAAACATTGTATAATTACTAATTAGATCATTTCTTTGTTTTTTCATTAGTGTATTTGTTGTATCACATTTATCAACAATTTTAACATAAAAATTGTTTATGGTGGTTTTTCCTCGGTTACCCGTCTCCCCGAAATTATCAAACCCTAATCATCCCTCACCACCCAAAAGCTTCTTCACTCCCTTTCTCCCAAAACCTCCCTAAAACCCCTCTTTCTCTCTCTCTCTCTCCCACCCAAAAGCTTCCAACTTTCTTCTCAAATCAACAACCATGGCAAAACCCAAGCCCCAACGCCGTCAATTGGGCAAGCAAAGGCGCCAACAAGAAGCAGAAGAAATCGAATTCCTCCAAAAATGGCTTGAATTCGGAAAACCCGACTCGGGTTCGAACCCGTTATCGCTTCCTCCATTGCCCCGCGATTCTCCGGTGGGTAAATTAAACGATGATACCTTCTCAAGGTATTGTGGGTGTGAATTGTTCAAGCAAATGCCATTATCGAAGAAAACTAAAGACGGGTTGCGAGCTTCCAACTTTACTCAGATGACTGATGTTCAGAGAGCTTCTTTGCCTCATTCTCTTTCGGGTCGTGATCTTCTTGGTGCTGCTCAAACTGGGTCTGGAAAAACTTTGGCTTTTGTTATTCCTGTGAGTTTTTTTTTTTTTTTTTTTTTTTTGACTTTTTTTTGACTTTTTTTTTGGTTGCTTTTGATTAATTTTGGATTTAACAATGTATATGTTTCTAGTCTGGATTTATGAAATTAGCTATAATTGAAGGTGTGGAGATGCATTATACTTTGATTCGAATTCAGGTTGGGTGATTGATTGGGTTAGAGGGAGTGGGATTGGTGGGTGGGAAGGATTAGCTGCCATCAGGTCCGAATTAGAGAAAGATCTCTATTTAGAAAAGTTGAGTGAATGTGATTGGAAGCTAACTTAAGGTTGGGGTTTAATCACGGTGTTCCAATTACAACGGTGTAAGGAAATAGAGAAGAGGGAAAGGAAAGGGATATGATGGAAGAATTTGGTTTGGGGGGAAGTTGATCCCTCCATCTTCTTATACTCGCTCTGTTTCTTGTTTGAGGATCCGAAAATAGACTGCTCGTCATCCTTTACACATTCTTATAATGTTAGGGGCCGTTTGGTTTACATAGGGTAAACGGAATGGAATGAACAAAGGGAATGGAAAAGAATGGAATGAAATTACCTTAAATTTTCTATGTTGTTTGTTTTAAAAACAAAGGGAAACACTGCCACCAATCCAACCACCACACCACCACCACATAACTACCTAATTGCTTCACTTCCCACCATTTCCAGCCACCACCCAGCCACCCCACCACTCGCCACCCTTCGCCGCACCTCCCCCGCCCCTCGCCGCCGTTCCCCGTGCCACCCACTGAAACCTTCCCGAGACCACCACCACTCCCACCAAAAACAGTCAAATCCTCCATCACTCTCACGAAACTTCCTGAAATCACCACCACTGCCATCAAAACTTTCCAAAACCACCACTTCTTAAGCACCCCATCATGCTCACCCAAAAATACGAGGGCTCCAATACGGGAAAAAATTGATTGATTAAGGAGATTCATTACTTGGATCCATGAATATGTTGTTCATTTTCAAAAAGACGACAATTTAGGTCTCAGATCTGGAATTCAAATGCTCAAATAAGGAAAACAAATTAGGGTTCTTGAATTCCAGAATTGAATTTTGAGAGAGAGAGAGGGGGGGGGGAGTGGTGGTTTTTGCTGGTTTTGGTGGGAGTTGTGGTGGTTTCGGTGATTTTCGGTGTGTGTAGTGGTGGTTTTGGCGATTTTCGGTGGGAATGGTGGTGGTTTCAGTGGGAGCTGTAGTAGTTTTGGTGGTTTTTCGGTGATGTAGTGGTGGTTTCGGCGGTTTTCGGTTAGAGTGGTGGTGGTTTCAGTGGGAGTTGTGGTACTTTCGGTGGGTGTAGTACAGTGGTGGCTAGTTGTTCTGGTGGTGGGGAGGGGAGGTTTTCGCTGGGGGGTGCCCGGTTGTTCAGGGGGTGGGGGAGGGACGGCGAGGGTGAGGGGAGGGGTTTCGGTGGGGTGGCTAGCTGTTCCGGTGGTGGGGAGGGTGGTGGTATGGTGGTGTGGTGGTAGCTAGGGAATGGAATGGAAATACCTAGGGGGATGGGGAATCAACTTGGAGGGATTTGGGGGAATGGAGAGGGTATAGGGAATGGAAAAAATGGCCTAACAAACAACAACAAAGGGAATAATTCCTGTTTATTCCTATTCTCTTTGATAAATACCCCCAACCAAATGGCCCCTTAGAGGTATTATAGTGGCGGAGAGAATGTGCTCCCCAAAGAGTCAAACTTGCAAGTATAAATTGCGGTTTAATTGCAATTTTGAAGGAAGGGCTCATGGTGTAAAACATTTGTTTAAAAATTTGGTATACTTTTCTTTTACAGATGAATTATTTGAAATAATCAAGTACGAAAAGTCAAAACTTACACATTGTTTTGATGGGAGGAAATGAAGAGAAAGGAAGGGAAGGGAAGGGAAGGGAAGGGGACAAATCATCTTGTTTGGATAATTGATTGAGGGAGGGAAAAAAAGGGATTCATTTTCCCTCCTCTTTTAATAAACACTATCCCTCCAAAATTGGAGAGATTGGAGGTAAAGTGAAGCTCCACTTTCCCCCTCCCTTTCTTTCCCCTTCCCTTCCTCCTATTTCCTTCCCCTTCTAAAATTGTTATCCAAACATGCTGTTAGGGAAATAAAGAATCTCCGTCTATTTATTAGTTAAGATAATTGGTACCAGCATATGGTTGTGAATAAAGTGAGTGTTCTCTTATGCTGAGTGCTTCACAATGATAAATTGTTTAGTTATTTTTAACAAAGTGCCTTAATAAATCTCTCAAAGTGGTTATCTTTCTGCCTTTATCTCTTTAAGTGGCAACTTTTTCTTTAGAGCTAGTGGTGGATTGATTTGTTTCTTCTCTATTGAGCCTTGTTCAAAGAAGTGCCAAAAAGCTCATTTTCTTGTGTGTTGGGGGAGTAGATTTCTTTCTGTAATCTGTACTTTTTTTGGTTAAGAATACTATGTTTCTCACTGTATTTTGAAGGAGTTTTTAGCTGCAGTTTGTTGTTGAATTTACGTAGTTTAGTTGTGTTTTCTTGTGTTTACATGAGTCTGTAGTAAAGCTCATAGTTTAGATTAACTCTAAAAGGATAATGATTTAATTCGAGAAATTATAGATATATGGCTGAAATTATCAGTTCCATGAGATTGTCTTTCCTTGACAACTATAGAGATGCATTTGCTCCCCCCCCCCCCCCACCCCCCCTTCCTTCTCTCTCTGTTCCCCTTTTATAGCATTTTTTCTTTTTGATAGGAGCAAAAAGTTGTGGGAGACTGGGAGTAATACTAATGATGTCAACTTATTTGATGCAAAATAGTTTTTAATGTAATAGTCTAATATCCAGTTTTTATGAACTTAGAATGAGGTCATCAGCTCAGACTACATCCATTGATGTACATTCTAGGTCATACGGTCATAGACTTGTAGCTGGTAGCTACTATGTCTGTTACTTCAACTCGCTGATTACCCTAATATACTCGTGTGCACCATGCATATGCCACCCCAAGTGTATAACAATGCTTAGGTTTGTTCCTTCAAATAAAATTAACCAAATATAGCTTTCTTATCCGTGTTGGATCTTTGCTTTATTTATAACTCCAATATATTCAAATATTCTTAGTAACCAAGACTACCGTTTTGGCTCTTTGCCAATGTTTGTGTGGTGGACTGGACTGTGGTTGTAAGTTTATTGTTGTTCTTGACAGGTTATAGAGAAGCTATACAAGGAAAGATGGGGTCCAGAGGATGGTGTGGGCTGCATCATCATCTCTCCTACTAGGGAATTAGCTAGTCAAATCTTTGGTGTTTTGAAGGCAGTTGGAAAGCACCATGGCTTCAGTGCTGGCCTGCTAATTGGTGGTCGCAAAGGTGTTGATGAAGAAAAGGAACGTGTGAATGAATTGAATATTTTGATCTGTACTCCTGGAAGGCTGCTTCAACACATGGATGAAACACCAAATTTTGAATGCTCTCAGCTTCAGGTCCACATGATCTTCACATCCTTACTGCGTTATTTTATTTTAGGCATAATACTTTCTCTTCTAACTGTTTGATCCTCTATGGAACAAGTTTAGGTGATATGCGATTTGCCACAACTTTTCTGTTATTGCTTTCCAGCCCCAAAATAATATCTCAATTTTACATTTTTGGATCCTTGATAGACTTTATCCATTTCTTTATGAAGCATACCATTTTAATTTATATAATATCATAAAAGATGCAATATATAGGCTATAAAAGCAATAACTGTTATTCATAGGTAAAGAGTCCATTTGATTATTTAATGTATGCTAATAAGCAATAGCAACTAATGAGTGTTATCTACCCCCGATAATGCTGTCTAATTGATTGTCTTATAGTGACCTTTACCCTAAATTAGCCTTTGTGCTATCTGCAACTTGGATGGAGTAGTCTTCAATTTTATATCTCTTTTAGTTTATGGGGCTATTCAAATGTAACAAAACAATGATGGTTATAATCTACTCCTTTATCTTTTTAACTCTTTTCATAATTTTTAGGCTATGTAGGATTATCAGAGGGTATAGACGGTGTCTAATTGTCATGCTATTTGTAGACACTTCATAAATTCTGTAGTGCTTGCAAAGTTGCAAGCGTGAGTATTGATACTTACAGATTCTTACTTCTTTAGAATCTAAACTGAGCTTTACCCTTGCTCTTCTGCAGCGAGACATTTTCATTTAATTTCAATCTTATTGTTGATAAAAGTAGAAATTCCCTTCATTGTACGAAATTATGGGTTTTCAAATCAGTAAAACGGAGAAGGGGAAGAGCTATACAAAGTTACTGAAGTAGGGTTTGCCCACATATTTCTACTAGGTTAATGGTATCTTGATCTGTCTTTAGTCTCTTTACTTTGATGCATGTTCCTCTTGCATTTGAGTATGGGTGTTCTTAAAATTCATAAAAACAATCCCCAACTCTTTAAGGGTCGTTTGGTTGGATCTTTTGGAATGAATTGAATTGGAACTAGAATCCATTGCATCTATTTTTTTTCTTTGGTTGAGCCTTTTAAGTGTGGAATTTCATACCCAAGGGGTTCTAACTCTACCCCATACCTATGGAATCTCATACCCACCTCTCCCCCTAAGATTCACAACCCATTCTATTAATGAAGCATATAATCCATTCCAACATTAAAACCAAACAACTTTAAACTAGTATGGTTTTTAGAATTCAGTATGAGATTCCATACCAATCCTTTCCAATTTAATGAACCAAACACCTCCTAAGTAGTGCTTCAATCTATCTTTGTTTGTAGGTCTATAGCTTATTGCGTAACTCTGTATTCTATTAAACTTAGGCTCTATATGGTGAGTATTTGAGGGTTTTAATTTTCTTCCAGGGAACAGATTTTAGTTCTCGACGAGGCAGACCGAATTCTTGATATAGGGTTCAAAAAAGAAGTGAATGCAATCGTATCACAGCTTCCAAAGAAAAGACAAACCTTGCTCTTTTCTGCAACACAAACAAAATCAGTTCAGGACCTCGCAAGGCTCAGTTTGAGAGACCCTGAATATCTTAATGTTCATGCGGAAGCCACTACTGCTACTCCCAAGCACTTGCTGCAGACTGCTACTGTTGTCCCTCTACATCAGAAGTTAGACCTTTTGTGGAGTTTTATAAAATCTCACTTGAATTCGAGGATTTTAGTGTTCCTTACCAGTTGCAAGCAGGTAGTTGTCATGATTCAGCATTTTTACAGCTCTCTGTTTTGCTTAGACATGTATGGTTCTTTTACTCTTTTATTTTGGAGACAGTTTGTCTTAGATTTGTAACACAACTTTTAATTTTATATATTTCTTTTATGTTATGGTACTTTGGTTGAACTCCCTGATGGTCCTTTAACTTCTGTATAGGTGAAATTTGTTTTTGAGGCCTTCAAGAAACTGCGCCCCGGTATTCCATTGAAGTGTTTACACGGAAAGATGAATCAGGAGAGAAGGTTGGGAACATATTCCCAGTTTAGTGAAAAACGTATTGTTTTATTCTCAACTGATGTCAGTTCAAGAGGTCTTGATTTTGATAAGTCAGTTGACTGGGTTGTTCAGGTGAGCTTTGGTTTCATGTATATCAGTTGTACATTTGATTAAGTGCTCAACTGATTCTGTCTTTTCCTTAGATGGATTGTCCATCAGATGTTGCAACTTACATACACAGAGTCGGTCGCACTGCTCGATACACTACTGGCGGGAAAGCTGTTTTATTTGTGGAGCCATCAGAAGTAAAAATGCTTGAAAAATTAAAAGAGGCAAAAATTCCAATAATAGCAAAAACGGTAATCTTCTCTAGAGTTCTTGTTCAAGTTTCTTTGTAGAGTGCTTTCTTCTGAGACTTGTCACCAGTTAAGTAGTTAATGTGACCTATTTATGCTCTCTTTAAACTTGCAGATAAACAAAGAGAAATTGCAGCCTGTTTCTCCTCTGCTAGCGTCTTTATTAGTGAAGTATCCTGATATGCAGCAATTGGCTCGAAGAGCATTCATCACATATCTCAAGGCTGTTTGTAAAGAAAAGGATAAAGAAGTTTTTGATGTGATGAAACTTGGGATTGATGATTTCTCAGCATCAATAGGTTTACCATTGACACCAAAAATCCGTTTCCTAAACCAAAAAATCACGGGCAAAAATTCTTCAAAATTAAGTCAAACTGTGGAAATAGACAAGTCCGCTGCAGAAAATTTGTTGGAAAATGCCAAGGCAGAGAGTAGTGAATCTGATGAAGATGAATCAGATAATGATCTTTTAGGGAACGATGTTCCATCTGAAGTGAAGCCAGCAATAACTGAAATTGAATCTGTTGTGTATGGTTCATCTACTTGTTATAAAAGTTCTTTTTTAAAATGTACCCTTTCGCCACAAGTTTTTTTCTTATTCTTGGGGCAATTACTCAGTTTTTCTTGTTTTTTGTTCTTGTAGGCCGGCTACCAGGGTTTTGAAGAAAAAAAAGCTGAAAATTAATGTCCACAGACCTGTTGGCACAAGGGTTGTCTTTGATGAAGAGGGAAACACTCTTCCACCCCTTGCAACTTTAGCAGATAGGACAAATGAGTCATCTGCAATTGATGTCGATAAAGGTATGTGACGCACTACTAGATGATCAGTGTGAAAAATAAAGAATTTGTTTTACCTTGTAGGTTAATGTCTTATTTATCTTTTCTATTCCAACTGTCAACACAATTTTCGTAATCTCTTCATAAACCATAAAGGCAATACTGTTGCATTTTTATCCCTTGTCATTTGCTTTGGGAAATTGTTTATCATGCCTTAAATAGACCTTTTTTAGTTACTAATGTGACACTTATCTAATATACTACGTATGATTAAAATGTTTAGATAGTTTTATTATACTACGTTTTATATGTTTGAGGCCATTACAGTCTCGTGCCTTTTTTTATTCACCCTGTGTACATGATTAGTTTTTCTCATTTTTGTACATGTTTATCTACTGTTGTATTAATATCCTTGCAACATTTTTTAGTTACTGGTGTGTTATTATGCTTGCGACATTTACTAATACTATTGTTGACTTACTTTGCAGTGCAAGAAAGGTATCAGAAAATGAGGGAAGTGTTAAAGCAAGAGGATAAAGTGGACAAGGTCCACGCTCGTCAGCTTCGCAAAGAGAAAAGATTGAAGCAGAAGATGAAGTTGAAGAGGGACAGGGCGGAAGATGAAGAAGAAGAAGGCTCTGAGTCAGAAGAGGAAGCCACTGTAGGCCGACCCAACAAAAAGTCTAAATTATATTTTGACAGTGACAGTGACATGGACACAGAAGAAAAGAAAATGGTGGATATCAACACTAATAAAATATCTTTGGCAGAGCAAGAGGATCTGGCTCTCAAGTTGCTTGGTTCAATGAACTCTTAAATTTATACACGTATGTCACACATTCGTTTCATTCATCTAAGGATGTCTGCGGAGGCTTCATTCATCTCATATATTCCTCAACTGCTCACCTTACTTCTTGACATCCTAGGTCAAACAGATATGAAAGCTTTGATAGTCGAGTATTACTTTTTTTGAAGTTGAAGAAATTCCAATAGTTTTGAAGAGTTCCGGGTTTGATTAGTCCTTCTATGAGATTTTTGGTAGATTGTAGTGTACATGCAATTTTGCTCGCCTTTGTAACAGTTATATTGTATCTTACTCCTTACTATGTTGACACCATTGAGGATGTTTGAAATTGAATTTTACTATTTTCTTTACATTAATGAATGAGTAGCTCCAATGTTCAAGAACTACCCTATGTATGTTTCAAGTATTGTCACAGTTAAATGGGGTATTACATTAGCTAAAGGGAACAGATTCGTACTTCATAATTTCATACTAGTATAACTTAATTTATGATTGACTTGTAGTGCGAAAGTCAAATTGTGATAATTACTAAACTGGTGTAACAAATCAAACTTTATGCAAGACTGAACTGAAAAAGAAAGGCAAAATTTTGATCACCGTACACCTATGAATAGCATGAAACCCATAAATATATGATGCAAGAGTATGATATAGAAAATCTTCATATTATTTGCAATTTAAATGCTTGCAATTGGGAGCCTAATCTCCAAGCTCAAACTCTGCTCTTCACCAAAACACATTCACCAAATTCATGGATTCCTTCTTTCTACTGGACTTCACCATGACAACTTCCTCCTTTCCAAATTCATTGAATCCTGCTCAAGATTCAATCTTTCACATTATGGGTACTCTGTTTTCAACCAAAGTTCTCAACCTTGTATTTATCTTTACAATACCATGATCAAATCTTTGTCTTCCCATCATTCTTCTGCTCCAGAAGCCATCTTTCTCTTCAACATAATTCGGGTTTTCGGTCTTGTCCCTGATTCGTACTCCTTTCCATTTGTTCTTAAGGCGGCGAGCCGGGTTTGTGATGGCAATGCAGGGAAAATGATTCATGGGCAGAGTATAAAATCTGGGTTTGAGTTGAATATTCATGTTGTGATTGCCATTGTTCAGATGTATTCATCTTGTGGATGTTTGGAGGATGCACGTAAGGTGTTTGATAGAATGTCTAGCTCAAATGATGTTGCACTGTGGAATGCGATGTCTGCTGGGTATGTTGGTGTTGGTGATATGTGTAGTGGGCGGGCACTGTTTGAACGTATGACTGACAGGGATGTGATCTCGTGGACTACGCTGATGGCGGGTTATGTTCATGTGAACCAACCTGAAGAGGCGATTGAGATCTTTCGGAGGATGCGAGTTGAGGGTGTAGAGCTTGATGAGGTTGCTCTACTGGCTGCTCTTTCTGCTTGTGCTGATTCAGGGGCACTTGAGTTAGGGGAGTGGATACATGACTTCCTTCAGAAGCGTGGATTGCGTAGAACAGTCCCTCTATATAATGCTCTTGTTGATATGTATGTAAAATCAGGAAATATAGAAAAGGCTTTGCAAGTTTTTGACAGTATGCAGCACAAGAGCGTAGTGTCTTGGACTACAATGATAGTGGGGTTAGCCTTTCATGGGCATGGAAGGAAAGCGTTGGAGATGTTTTCTCGCATGGAAAGAGTGGGATGTAGGCCGAATGAGATCACTTTCATTGGAGTCTTGTCTGCTTGTACACACGTTGGTTTCGTTGAATTGGGGAATTCGTACTTCAAATCTATGAGCTCCAAGTATGGGATCACACCCAAGATTCAACACTATGGCTGTATGGTGGATTTGTTAGGCCGAGCTGGATGCCTCGAGGAGGCAGAGGATCTAGTCAGGAGGATGCCCTTCAATGCTAATGCTGCTATATGGGGATCGCTTCTAGCTGCTGCTAAGATGCATAGAGATTCGTCCCTTGCTGCAAAAGCTTTGCAGCACCTTGCTACTTTGGAACCTGATAATAGTGGAAACTATGCTCTTCTTTCCAATACATATGCATCAATTGGAAATTGGAGTGAAGCTAGGTTGGTGAGGAAAACAATGAGAAGCTCTGGTGTAAAGAAGTTGCCTGGTGAAAGCTCTATTGAGCTAAACAGTTGCATTCATAGTTTCGCTGCAGGAGCATTCTCACATCCCGAGGCTAAAGCGATTCATGACATTCTTTGGGAGATACACCAGCAATGTACATTGGAAAGTCACGAGCAAAATGTAGAGGAACCATTGTTATTGGAATAATTTAATTGTGGGCTGATAATTGTTGTGTGAAAGTGCTGAAGCAACACATTGGAGACTCGATATCGATCAGTTTAATGTCTGTATTGCATTTGGGGGCAATCTGATGATTTGCATGCTTCAAATCTGATGGAAATACCAGTTTGGCCTGGTGAGCTTCACAATATCCGAAGGTTGGATGAATTAATCCATCTAAGAAGTACTTGCAGTGTTCTTATTATGATATAACATAAAACCTTGAGGGTGCAACTGCTTCTCGAAGGGATACTGTAATTCCATGAGCTTAATGCCACTCAGAGAGTCCTTGAGGTTAAGGTTTCCAGTCAGAAGTCTCAGAACTTAAAGAGCATAACGATGCAGAGGACATGGTTTGATATAAGGAGAAAATGCAAGGATTAGCTCTTGAATGCTGAAGAAGGGAGGCATCCTGAGAAACTAGGACAGCCATACATAGACACACTAAAGCCATTCTTTGCTTGTAAAAAAAATAAAAATAAAAACTTCCGCTGGAAGTGGAAGGACATCTTCGATTAATTCTAAATGTCACATTAACTCATACACGAATTTTTATATGGTCACACCTGTGTGGTCAGGTTACTCGATCAGGGATTACTTGGTTGATTAGGGGTTACCCCGTCAGTGTTTTGGTGTGTGTTAGCTTGCCGCACAGTGTGGTTACACCTAAAAAGCGTTATAACTCATATATACGATTGACAACAGAAAAAGAGGGAGAGAGGAGAGAGAAAATGGGCTTGAATTGTGGGTTGAAAAAACAAACTAGGAAGATGAGAGAATTTGAGGATTTAAATTTTTTTAGTTTATACTCGCTTTGTATTTTAATAAGCGTTACACTTTGACTTTTTCACTAGTTACATAATGGTTTTGACTTAATTAATTTAATAATATAAAAAATAAAAACAAATGTTATTTTTTGTTGGATTCTTTATAATGTATACTATCATAATATAAATTTTTCTATGATTTTACTAACATATAATTAAAGGGAAAATTTCTTTTTAGGGTTTATAATTTGAGTGAAGAGAAAGAAATTCAAAAATCAGAATGAGAATATGAAAGATAGAGGATATTAGGATAAAAAGGCCTCATAAAGGTAACCCTTTTTCATCCCTCTTTCAACCTGACTCAATCCTTAAAGGGTACGCAACAAGTACAGCTCAAAATAGATTTCAGAGAGTAAAAGCTAAGCTTAAAGTTGGATTTCTTTCCAACTTCTGTATTCTAGCAATTACAAGTAAGGAAATTTAGAACAAATAATCAAGGGAAAAGCTCGATAATTAGTATTACCAGAGAGACAGAATACTGTATAGGTGATTCTCACAAACCTAATTTTGTCAACCCTAGAGCTTATGGGTTGTTCTATTGCTGTCATACCAACCCTAGAGCTTATAGGTTGTTCTAATGCTGTCATACCAAGCTTTTTTTTGCTTCCTTGTAACAAGAAATTCAATCTTAGCCCCAAAACAAACGGCATATATAGTTGTTAGTCATATATTTCTAGGCTCACGGCATAACACATAGTTACCTAGTACATTCATTGGTGGCGAATGATCATAACTCAAAAGTTTCTTACAACAGCAAATCTTCTGGCTAACAAGTAACAACCAGCACGTGAGCTTGAGCATTCAGCTTGCCGAGACCAAGTAGGGCTAAAGCGCTTAACAGTTGCATCTTTAGGATGCCTCATTTAATTCTAGATACTACGTATATAAAATTAAGTTCAAGTAGCAATATTTGTTTTATTTATATGAACTTTTGGTACCTTATTAGTAATTTTTCCACTTAAAAAAAAAAAAAAAAAAAACACTCACACTAACATCACAATCTATTGAAATCCCAAGAAAATAGTTGGAGCTGTTAAATATCATTTGCATTCTTTAAAGGCATGAGTTGATGTTAAACAAAAACCCTTCCCAAAACTAAATTTTATTCATCCAGGACTAGAGTTAGCAGATTAAACTGGAGGTGTTAGAGAAAATAGTTTAAAAGCATCATGTTGTGCATGCATCAGCCATTCAGAATAAGCAAAATAGTTTAAATATCCAGAAGATGGGGGGTCACAGGATGGGGGTTGTAACTAACCCTCACCGATCCAGAAGAACACTAGAGTCGGAAATTCACATCCACCAACATGGAGGAAGGTTTGTTCTCAGGGTACCAAGAAAAAAGAAAAAAAAGAGGGGGAAGGGAGGGGAGGGAGACTCCTAGGAAGGGAAAGAGGGCTAATAAAATACATATGTGATCCCAGGAAAATTCATCTACCAAATCTCTCAGTGAAGTAGAACGTCCATCACCATCTCCCGGGACTTCACAGCCAGCATATCAATAAATCACTGCAAAGCATAGGCACGACACTATGATGACATTGTTCAAAGCACATATAGATAAATTATTCAATCACGATAACAATGATAACACTGAGTCACTGACGAGAAATTGGTCATGGACATGGAATGCAGAACAAGTCTTAGCATGATGTCCTCCACAATACAAGGATAAATTCAACTAGTCGGAGTGGGGACTTATTTTAATAATATGATTAAATGATTAAATTATATGGGGAGAATAAACTATCCATGTATTCAAGATAAACCATTTAAATACTAACCAAACTATTTAAAGCTATACAACCCAAGATTTTAACACAGCAAAATGGACATAAAAGGTTGTTATTTCAGATTAACAGAGCCACAAACCAATAGCAAAGCTCGCAGAACATCATCAAGATTCAGTATGACACATCAGATCATTACTTAGAAGAGCGAGAAAGAGAGAAGGCATATTCACCTGCTGTGTTTGCTGGTAATTCCCATATCCTGCATAATTTGCATAATACATGTTAGGGTCCTGAGGAGCTGCTGCTGCATATCCATAAGCATCATAGCCCCCTTGAGGATATCCATATCCATATGCTCCATTCCACTGAGCCTGACCAGGTTGTACCTGAAAGAATCAGAACACAAGATAAGCTAGTGAATAAGGCAAATCAAACACGCAACACAAATTGCTTTAGATTGTTTCAACAACAGGAAAAACAAGCAGACCTGTTTAGCTGATGGACTACGACCCCATGAAAGTCTAACACTCTGAGATCCAATCTGAGCTCCATTCAATGCTGCCAATGCTTGCTCAGCAGCAGCTCTATAACAAATTTAGTCAAAAAAAATGATCAGCCTATAAGCAGTAAAATCATGATATAATGCAGAAGATAAACAAAAGCACATTGCTCACCTGCTACCAAACTGCACAAAACCACAGCCCTTGCCCACAGGAATTTTCACATGAACCAACTCACCATAAGGGCTAAACACTTGTCTTAGCTGGTCATCTGTAACATTGGGATCCAGACCGCCAACAAAAATCTGCAGGCAACAAGGAAGCAGATTAGAATGCAATGGAGAATAACTACAACTGCATTAAACAACAGACTACCCACAGTTGTGTTATTTGGATCATTTTCGCCTGGATTTCCCTGAGTAGTCTGATAAGAAGCTGCAAGCGGCAAACAGAAAAAAAAATGTAACAAAACAGATATAAACTGAAATTCAATCTAGGCTCTAATCAGCTAAAATTAACAATATATTGTTCACATAATAACATATTAATAACGTAGGTGAAAAGAGAAAGCACATCATAAAAAAATGGCAGAGACAATGAGACAACATCATGGCCTACTTCCAGCAATTTGCAACCAACTCTGATAACATGTATAGGCTTTTCATGACTAAAAGGATCCAACACTGACATAGCTAAGAGCGCCCCATCCTTCCCAGCACCAACTAACCCCACCCCACCCACCCCCACCCCCCCCCCCCCAAACACCCACAGAAGAGAGAGTGCGCACTGTTGGGACATGACAAATTCAGCAGAAAGGAACATAAATATATCAAGCCAAAAACTACATAACTCAAAGGATTGACCAATATACATTAAGGATACACAAACACTACTATAGGTAGTGAACAAACTTAAATGAAGTAATTGGGGACAGGTTCTTGATGTACTGATGGTTCCAACCCAACCCCTTTCATTTTAGTCAAATATAAGAATAACAAACTTATTCCAATCAAACAATACTGTGATAAAAATTCAATGACAAGATAACATAACCCGTGCATCTATATTCATCCAATGTATTTTCCTTCATCAACGGGTAAAGCAGAGTAAATTTCATTTAAAAAAGTATATATAATAGGTCCAAGAACAAGCCCTTTGGATATCCTGAAAGGTAGGTAGCAACTTGCCTCAAGGCCCTCAACTGCCAAAGAATTCAATTTTGACAGAGAGAAGATAACAAAAGCGAAATAACTGAGATTAAAAGGAAAGCAACACTTTGAAAATAAACAGTTCATCCCCAAAAAATAAAGAGAGAGGTATTTAAAATATATATATATAAAAAAAATGCAACCATACGTGACGAGAAAAATGGAAAGCTTAAGACGAGACTAGTATAAGGATCAAGTATTCTTCTAAATCTACAAGAAGTAAACAAAGGGATTGTAAGAAACAAGAACTTTTGAACCTCACTAAAAGAGTAAATGTGCTTTAAGAAAAAGTAACTGAAAAACTAACTTGCGAATGTAGCATAACAAATGCCACAAGAACTGAAAGAAAAATATTGAATTTCTGGCATTAAAAATGACTGACCTAAAATGAGGCCACGCACTAAAGTGGAATCATTTCAGCTGAAGTCAGTTCCAGGCCCCTAATACGAGAGCCTCTTGGTGTCCTGCTTTGAGACAACATGAGTTTTTATAAGCGTTTTCCGCAGGTTTTTCATAGAATTATCTTGCCCAAGTTATATAGGTAAACTAGAATGAAAGGACTCGTAAAAGTATCGAAGGGTTCGTAAAGGAATCCATCTACAAGCTAACAAATTAACTTTACAACAGGGTAGAACAAAGCAGAAAAGCATCAACATTAACTAATCATTACAGCTTCAAACAATTCCAACATCTAAACAAGAGCATGGCAACATCACACAAGCCCAACAACAGACATACCTTTCTGCTGAACTCCAACTGGTTTTTTATTGGCAGCTGGTCCAGTTCTCATGGGCCTAGTTGATAGAACAACTCCATTCATTTCAGTCATGGCACGCTGTTGTTCACCTTCATCCGCAAACCTCACAAACCCGTACCCTTTAGAACGCCCAGTAATATGATCAGTGATAACCTTTGCTCCCTTAACAGAAGAATAATGAACACGAAATGCATCCTGAAGCATAACATCTGAAACTTCGGCTGCTAGATCTCCAACAAAAACTGTATAGTCAGCCGAGTCATCTTGCTTCCTCTGACCAGCACCAAGACTGGCCCAATTCAGTCTGAAAGCTTGTTCGGTTTGTGGCATTACTGTCCCGTTGTATGTAGCTAATGTCCTTTCAGCTGCGGCACGGTTAACAAATTCTACAAAACCATAACCTTCTGAGAGATTGGTTTGCTTATTGCGAATTACCTTGACAGATACAACCTGCAGAACAAAAAAATTGAAAGAAAAAAAGTAAATCACCTTTTTAATGAGGAAATAAACCACGTTCAAACAAGATATAAGAGGGTTAAAAATATAACATTAAAATAAAGCACAACTAAAAATAGTAGGCATTTCTCATCAGCTCAGGCAGGAAGAAGAAACCTTCACTCGATTCTAAACAATCTCAGCACAGTTACATCAAACAAGTCTTACTCCAAATAACTTATACACAAGCATCATTAAGCAGTAGCCCATATCCAAAACTTTTTTCCGGGTTCATCATGGCTTCTATATAGAAACAACACATTACCATTGTATATTAAACCATAACAACCTAACAACAATTAAGCCTTAAATCATTTACAAGGCACTCCTATCTACAGAAAAGCATTGCCTGAAGATCATCAACCATAT